GAAAAACCATTGGGTCTGCTACTACCCTCCAATTCATTGGCATTGAAAGAGTGAGGCCTAAACCTAGAGGGGGCAATTTGATTAACCAACCTTTAAGAAGGGAGGCATTTTGGATTTATGAACCGAACACAACTGAACCACATGGACTCAATGAAACTCAGGATTTGAGCTGTTTTTTGTGTGGCTAAATATGATATCTTGTTTCTTTCTACAGGTGATGGGGACTCATAGGGAGAGATGAATCACTAGGTCCCTTACACTGCCCTCTTCCTGTAAAGCTGGAGAGGTACAGCTCCAGTATTTTCACCAGCTGGGGATATTTGGTGAGCCATAGAAGAAAAGACATATGAATGGTGGCTGGGAAGAAAGATCAAAGTCAAAAAATATCAAAAAATTTACAAGATGTGAAACACTTTTACCAGCCCCCCAAAGAAATGTACAAATGACAGAATCTTGACGGAAAGGGAATGTACCAAATGCTGGATTTTGTATCATGTCCAATTCTTGAAATAGAGATAAACTATGTGCATTAATGCATCAGGAAATTCAATATATGAAACAGCTGTAGAAGCTGTAACGGGGTGGCTGTAACGGGGCGGCTGTAACGGGGCGGCTGTAACGGGGCAGCTGTAGAAGCTGTAACGGGGCGGCTGTAACGGGGCGGCTGTAACGGGGCGGCTGTAACGGGGCGGCTGTAGAAGCTGTAACGGGGCGGCTGTAGAAGCTGTAACGGCGCGGCTGTAACGGGGCGGCTGTAACGGGGCGGCTGTAACGGGGCGGCTGTAACGGGGCGGCTGTAGAGGCTGTAACGGGGCAGCTGTAACGTGGCGGCTGTAACGGGGCAGCTGTAACGGGGCGGCTGTAGAAGCTGTAACAGGGCAGTTGTAACGGGGAGGCTGTAACGGGGCGGCTGTAACGGGGCAGCTGTAGAAGCTGTAACGGGACAGCTGTAGAGGCAGCTGTAGAAGCTGTAACGGGATGGCTGTAGAGGCAGCTGTAGAAGCTGTAACGGGACAGCTGTAGAGGCAGCTGTAGAAGCTGTAACGGGATGGCTGTAGAGGCTGTGACGGGACGGCTGTAGAAGCTGTAACGGGGCAGCTGTAGAAGCTGTAACGGGACGGCTGTAGAGGCTGTAACGGGGCGGTTGTAACGGGGAGGCTGTAACGGGGCGGCTGTAACGGGGCAGCTGTAGAAGCTGTAACGGGGCGGCTGTAGAGGCTGTAACGGGGCGGCTGTAACGGGGCGGCTGTAACGGGGCGGCTGTAACGGGGCGGCTGTAACGGGGCGGCTGTAACAGGGCGGTTGTAACGGGGAGGTTGTAACGGGGCAGCTGTAGCTCAGTTGGTCGAGTCGTCACCTCTCGATCCCCAGCTTTGCTTATTCTTCTGCACAGCACTTTGGTCAACTGTGGTTGTTTTAAAGTGCTTAACAAATAAAGTTGGATTGGATATACAAATAATATCAGCTTACTTTAGTTTCACTGCTCAAAATAAACTACCAACCCTTTGCAAAATGCAAACAGTATATAATCATCTTGTGTGCAAACTTAAACTACGACCTAGTAAATGCATCATGCTGATAAACTCATTTATTATGGATTCAACTGAACTTGCCTCATATTAAATCAGTCTAGGCTGCTACTGTAGATGTCTAAGCTCGAACCATAATTATTAACAAGCTATTGGAGAGATGCTGGATAAAGGGTGTCATTTAAATATGGAACTGGTAACCATAGCTGATGCACCCTGTCTGAAACAAATGGTGACACAACCACCTAGCTTAAGCACTAATAAAAAGGGTATGAGCACATCATCCTGTTGTAGCAGACAGGGGCCCTTTCCGAATATCCACAGTAGAAGCCGTGTTTACGCAGACTTTGAATTTTTGCACATAGATGTGCCTAAACATGCACAGGACACTTGGAAAACACACTAAAGGGCATATAAAACCAGAAGAAGCATAATATGGGACCTTTAAATAATGATTTCACTATTTAAATGCGTCTTTATTGGTTTACTTTATATTCTGTATATTACTGTCTTTTCTTTATGTACTGTATGTTATTTACTTATTTCATCTGTCTTTTACGTTTTGTGTTTACCTGACTGTATATGAGCATTACTCTTCTTGAATAAAGCTAAACAAAAAACAAAACAGTTGAATGCGGCCGGTTCTGGAAACGTAAATGACGAATGATGAATGAATCAGAAGAAGTAGGAACAAATATCTGCCTACTGAATAGTAGTGTATACAATATAGTGTAACAGTATACAGCAGATAGTAGGTACTAAACAGTATACAGCAGATAGTAGGTACTAACAGTATACAGCAGATAGTAGGTACTAACAGTATACAGCAGATAGTAGGTACTAAACAGTATACAGCAGATAGTAGGTACTAAACAGTATACAGCGGATAGTAGGTACTAACAGTATACAGCAGATAGTAGGTACTAACAGTATACAGCAGATAGTAGGTACTAAACAGTATACAGCAGATAGTAGGTACTAAACAGTATACAGCGGATAGTAGGTACTAACAGTATACAGCAGATAGTAGGTACTAACAGTATACAGCAGATAGTAGGTACTAAACAGTATACAGCGGATAGTAGGTACTAACAGTATACAGCAGATAGTAGGTACTAAACAGTATACAGCAGATAGTAGGTACTAAACAGTATACAGCAGATAGTAGGTACTAACAGTATACAGCAGATAGTAGGTACTAACAGTATACAGCAGATAGTAGGTACTAAACAGTATACAGCAGATAGTATGTACTGCCTACTGACAGATTGAGTAGGTACTTGGTAATTTGGATACAGCCTGAGTCTATGGTCAGGGGCTTCTCTAATGTGCTGCATTGCTAGATCCCACAGCGCAGTGTTGCCAAAACCCGCCCTACTCGGTGTGTGTGTGTGTGTGTGTGTGTGTGTGTGATTAATAAAGGATACCTTCTACAAACATGAGTTTCCATTTTCACACACAAAATATAATACCAGCAAACGCCCCATAAGGCAAACCAATGTTTAACAGCCCACAGCTCCCCCTGGTGGCAACACGAGGTACCCACAGAAAATAAAATAAAAAAAAGATCTTCAAAGTCTCAAAGGAATATCATGAATAAAAGGACTTCATCTTCAGTTGAGCTTTACTTTACTGCAGGTAAAACTTCTGCTCTCATCGGAGTAACAACCTCACCTCAGGAGCACTCAGGCAAACAGGTGCAGCACACTAGCGCCCTCTGATGGCCCTGGATTGTAATAACATCCAACAGTCACTTCATAAAAGAGTGGCTCTCAAACTTTTCACATAAGTACCCCCACATGAAATATTTTGTCTCTCCAGGTACCCCCATTATGACCAGCGTTGAAATACTGTCAGACTATTTAACAACAGTTTACACAGGAGGTCATTTTATACCTCATATGCACATTATTTATTATTGACCACACACTGCGGCCTGCACTCATTCCCTGTGCCACTCTAAGAGAATCCAAACTGGATCAAACTCAGGATATATGTCGTTGACTTCAGTTCCTGCTGCGCTGCTTGATCTTTACTTTCTAATATTTCACGTTTTTGAGCCTCAAATGCAAAAAACTTTGTAAGCATCATATTTGCCTCCTCCACTTGCCATCACAGCTTTGTTTGTCAACCACTTGATTTGTAAATCTTTATTTAAAAAAAGAGATATACTCTTTCCACAGTTTGAGAATGAATGCTCTGAAGGATGAAGACACAGCAGGATGAGAACATGAGAGACGTTTTCAACAACTTTATTGGTGACATTTCTACTGATTACATTTGTCAGATTTTAACGTGTTGTATAAAATATTTGAAATGATAAACAGACGTTGAGCCTCAGAGAGTCTGAGTGAGTTAGTTTAAGAGGTACTCCCATACATTCATTATAATAAAATGTTAGTTTTTCTTTAACATATAAAATACAAAAGTGGTGAAAGCCTCAAATCAAAAGCTGATACGATATCAAACGTACAAAAAAACATAAAAGATATAAAAGACAAGCGTCTGGATGGATTGTATTCATAACTTTAGATTTGATGCACAAAGAGTCCTGAGCTGTAAAGAATAAGAACGTTAAAACACACAACAACAAAGAAGTTTAAACACATACAGTTTGTAGCAGAGAACAGTGATCGAGAGCCATCCTGGACTTTGGTCTGTAGCTTTAAAGGTCACATATCCTCCTCTTCAGTTTAAATAAGTCTCAGAGCTCCTCAAAACATGTCTGAAGTTTCTTGTTCTAAATCCACTCTGATCCTGTATTTGATCATGTCTATAAACCCCTCTATTTCAGCCCTGCTCAGAACAGGCTGTTTCTGTGTCTGTACCTTTAAATATGTAAATGAGCTCTGTCTGACCACGCCCCCTCTCTAGAAGGGGTCTACTTTGGATATGAAATTAAAGACGTCTATAAATCAACTCGGAAAGATCAGAACAACATGATCCGTCAGTCTTTGGCAGGATACTGAATGGGATGTAAAAACAAAGCACCATGTGGTAACGATCGTCAGTCTGACGAGACGACGCAGAGGTAGCGTTAGCGGTTAGTACACACGTGCAGATTATTCTCTATACTGCTGGATTACATGGAGCCTGTCAGACATCATGGCGGCATTCATCTGCTCACTTGAATGAAAATGAAAACCTAATTTTATACAAAATGTATCAAATCTATCACACTTTATATTCATAGGTTTCATGTGAGGTCACACACTTCTGACAAACAACACCAAATTCTTCTTCTACTACAGTATTTAATCTGAGAAAGAAAAACAAAGAGGAAATTTGTGGATTAACTCTGTTAGACGCTGAAAGAACAGACCTCTCCTCATGCTCACATTAAATATTGTGTTAACAGGGCCCCGTTAGCCTGGTGGTTAGTGCGCATGCCCCATGTACGGAGGCTGTAGTCCTCCAAGCAGGAGGCCCGGGGTCAAACCCGACCTGTGGCTCCTTTCCTGCTTGTCTGTCCTCACACTCTCTCTCTCGCCCCAATTTCTGACTCTATCCGCTGTCCTGTCTCTAAATAAAAGCATAAAAAGCCCAAAAATAAACCTTTAAAAAATACATTGTGTTCACTTGATATAGATATTCCTGTACTAACAATATTTCCCCTAGAACACTAACAAACAGTGACAGCTGACAGAGATCCAGCTACTATTGTTAGCTAATGTAAACTAGCAAATGTTAGCTAATTCGCTCTTAACTTCTGCTTTGATGATGAAGAATTTCTTGCCCTTCACTTCCCAAACAGCAGCATTATCGACACAGACACACATATAAATGTGTCTATCCTTTTGCAGACTTTCATCCTACATCGATGTAAGGTAGAGAGAGTCTCCTCTACATTTAAACATCAGTAAAGTGACATTCTGGTGTTACAGCCAAAAGAGTGACCGTGTTAACTGACGACTTTCAGACAAACACGACTGAAAGTGTCCAAACAAATACCTCCATGTTCAGTTTTTGTGTCATCATAATGTCATACATACTTATTAGATATGTATTTAATAAAAAACTAAACAAAGAGGCCGTTATTTGGACACATAACGTCCGACAACCACAGACGCATTCAGGCTGAAAGTCACCACTTAACACGGTCACTATTTAAACCGTAACACCGGCACGTCCTGGGTGCTGTAAAAAGGCCCCAACTGCCCCAAACTCATATCCCGGTTTTACATCGGTGGTCAGGTGATGTAACCACACGTCGTTTACAGGAAATGGGAAATTAAAAATCTGAAATGATTAAGATTTACTCTTATTGATCCCGCAAGGGGAAATTCCGTTTTTACACTCTGTAGCCTAAGTCATGCGACACACTCATAGGCTGAAATATACACATGCACAAACCCAAGTCCCGAAAGACTGAGCTACTGCGGCCGATTATCTGAAAACCTGCAGCTTCAGCCCCTCATGTTAAAGAAACGTTATATCTACTCGTTCAAAGGGATGAACAGTTTGAAGGTACCAACGGAACCACTGATGTCTGCAGACTCAGAGGATTACACCGGTGAATATATGACGTTAATTCTGATGGACTATTGTAAACAAACTGGTCCAATATTAACACAATACAACATCTCTGTGATACACTGCCTGTATAGAGGCCTACGTGTTGGTACAGTCTGGGCCACAGCTGAACATGTGCCGTCCTGAGCACAGGACACACAAAGCACGTGATGTTTATAGAATCGAGCACGCTGTGGGATATTTGGCGGCAAACACTTTGTTCTCCGTCCCGTAGACAAAGTAGCTGTAGTCTTTCCCGCTGTAGGTGTAATAAGCGTGAGTCAGAGGAACCATCTCGATGGTCTGACGCTGAGGACAGAAAAGAAAAAGGACGTCATGACATTAATATTATTATCACACAGTTCATGTTTACAATTCTATTCAGGGAGAAAAACACAATCACACATATTTCATATCATACAACAGGTTCATTCGGCCTTTTCTTTGCGACTGTGGCTCAGTGGTAGAGTCGGTCATCTCTCAACAGTTTGGTCGGGGGTTCGATCCCCAGCTCCTGCAACTACACGTCCGAAGCGTCCTTTGGCAAGACGATTAACCCCAAGCATGAATGTGATGAGTTAATACTGATGGACTCTTCACTCAGCGGCCTCTACCATCAGTGTGTGAATGTGTACGAGTGACCTGCGGCGTGAAAGCGATTTAAGAAGTCAGAAGACTAGAAAAGAAATATACAAGCTCAAGTGGGGGCGGGCGGCAGTAGCTCAGCCGAAGGGTCACTGCTTCAAGTCCCGGTGCGGATCAAGTCTGGAAGTTGGTCTGGTATCTGGAGGTGATGCCATTTCACTTCCTGAGCATCGCCGAGGTGCCCTTGAGCAAGTCACCCCCCCCCCAAACCAGGAGCGCTCGCTGTGTGCAGCCCACCTCACTCTGACATCTCTAATTAGTGCATGTCCAGAGGATCCTGTTTGCGCATGTGTGTGAGGCAAAGTGTAAAAATTGAATTTCCCCTTGTGGGGTAAAGGATATCTTAAGTCCATTTACCAAATTTAACCATTTGCCCTTATTGACAGGACAGCTGGAGAGAGGGAAAAAATGTCTGAACATGGAGCGTCTGTTGAAGCACTCAGTGTGGAGTTCATTAAACCGTATGTCTCAGTTACAAATAATCTTTTGTTTTAAAGAACACGTCTTGTGTTTTGTTGGTACCTGCTGCAGGATGCGGCTGGTGGAGCTGAATTTATTGAGATGTTGGTTTATCATGGTTCTAGAAACAGCACAGATTTCGTCATCGGGGAAGCCCTGGATAGGATACACCTGCAAGACGAAGAGAGAAGACACCCAGTTTCATCAGGAACACTCTGCAGCAAAGAGCCGAGGTCGGACTCTTTATATTACCAGGAGGTTCTTCTCGTTGAGATACAAGAACTCTTCAAGAAGAGAGTTCTGACTAAACAGCAGCATCGTCGTTTCACACAGAGAACAAAAGACATCAATCAACACATCAGAAGATTTGAAAAGAAATGATACTCGTACTCTCAGAGTCAGGGAGGACTCAAAGACTGGATTCTTCAGTTCTAACTATGATCACTGAAATATTTCCTCTCACATGTTTGCATCCTAAAAAAAAGTAGTGTTCATCCTCACCAGAACGTTTTCATCCACAAAGAAAGGATCTCCCGTCACCCCCTCAAACTTCTTGTCTGGAAAGTCGGGCTGACGGTCCGGAATGAAATCCTCAACGTTGTTCTTCCTGCAGACAAACACACATTAAGAAATCAGACAGGAGTAGATGTGGATAATGTAAGGTTTATGCCATTGTGGAGGAACCTGAAGCTGTTGTAAAGTGGTCATGTATGGTGTAGGTGTTAAAGGTACAGTCAGCTGATTTTTCCTCAAAACTAAAATACAGACTAAAGTGAAGCTGCTCCATTGTCCCTTCTGGGCCTCCATACATGTGTGGTGGTGACTGTGTCTGCAGAGACTCTGTCGTCTCACTGGATTTTACTGTTCTGCTTTGTGACGGTTGACTCGGGACGTTTCTGGGCGGAGCTGGTGTGTTTCCTCCAGCCAATGACAGCGCAGCAGGTGAGTTTAGGAGTGGATACAATTCAGTGATTGGACGAGATTCAAAGCGGTGAATATGACGGACGTGGACGTAGCAGCAAAGAAGAGAAAATATAATGAGAGTGAGGAGAAACACCAAGTGGATAAAGCTCGTTCTAAAACGAGGGTGAACCTTGTGTTGTCTTTTACCCGTGGACGTGGAGTTGATCTACTTCCTGTTGGACAGGAAGGTGACAAACACTGGTGATTAGCTTGAGCTAGCGTGCGTTAGCTTGCAGTGTAGGTATGAGCAGTAACACACTACGTCCTGTAGGGGGTGTTAGAGCCATTTGTGTGTTCAGTATGTACGCGTCAGTGAAGTACGGCAGGCTTTCAGCCCCTCAGTGGCTCAAACTCTTTGATAAGCAAGATCAAGCCACTACAGGGAGCGTGAGCTTCTGGGGGCGATGAGCCCAGGAGGACGAGGGGTCCAGTTGGAGGGTTGTGTTTTACATCATTTGTGAGTTTCTCTGTTTATTGGTTGTGTATTGTTGTGTAGATGTTGTGTAGTTTTTAGTGGTTCTGTCTCCTGCCCAGGATGTAAGTTAGCTCATAGCTAACTCTAGTACAGTGAAGTGGCTAAGTCACTGTCCCTGTCAAAATAAACACATAAGATAAATATGCATGGGAAGGATGTCAAGTGTGTGTGTGTGTGTGTGTGTGCATGGCTTAAACATACCATGTCACTGTGAGCAGGATGAAGTGCAGCAGGTTTTGGCTGCCGTGACAAACAGTGCAGGTCTTGAAGCCGTGGCCCTGACAGGAAATACACCTGAAAGAGTGACAAAGACTCAAATCTCTGCAGCCTGCTCTCATATTAACACAGACATACAACATGCAAGAGAAGAGCAATTCATGCAAACCAGACAGTGTAGAAATATTAAGAATATACATGTGCGTCCATGCATACAGGAGGGGTCCCTGAATGTTAGTGAGCGAGAGAATGCATCACAACCACTGCGTCCTTAAAACAGTGAAAGGCAGCACATCATTGGACAGCGTTTAATTTAAAGCTCTGACAGGTCGTTAGTGTAACAGAGGCGTAGTTATTGCATTACCACCGGGTCTACTTCATGGGGCCCAGATATCCTGGAGACGCCTCTGTCACAATGCCTTCTCAGCTATTGCCAGAAAAACTGTGCAACAAGCTACCTCACAAATTAAAAATGTCTCCCGCCTCACCGATTTGTAAATTGCGTCTTTTCTTTGGCAGCACCGATAAACTTCAATGTTTTCTTTTTTAAACATGGGATATAAATAAAGGAGACTGGAAGAGTCTGACTTAAAGCTAGGTCTGTCAAAAACGATTAAATCTTTTTATCTCGATGAATCATGTTTTTAATCGCATGTTTGAAATTCCATTATTTCCCATTCAATAAAACACATTGTTAGGCTTTTATTTTGAAGGGTTTTTACTGTTTCAAGCTGAGAGTACTTTACTTGCTGTGTGCTTTTATTTTGAAATAAAGTAAGGAGCTTCTGGTAGATAAAAGGTTACGACAGAAACATTTTGTGAAACAGAATTAGCTATTAAGTCTATTTTTGTTTATTTTTGTCTGCCTCGTCTATGTTCAACCTGTGAAATATTCCTCTGCTCTCGTAATTATTTCTGTGTTAATAAATCCAAACGTCTACATTTCTTTGTAATCGTAATATTATATTGTAAACAACATCTTAAATATTTAAATTATTATGACTAATCCTCTGATTAGAACTTGCACAATTCTTTTTATGCTGACGATACACAATTATTCTTTGCAAACATCACTACCACCGATCAGGCCTTGTCCACCTGTCAGGTGTATCATTCACCTTTGTGACCACAGAGCTTATTTTAAATACTTAGTAACGGTGAAGTGTAGACGTGTGTGTAGATAATGTGTTGTTGTAACTAAAATCAGTCACTTTATTCAGACTTCTCAGACCACACTCTCTTAGTCCAGGTCTTCAGGTCTCCTCTCACCTCCTACGGCCTCTCCCGTGACAGAAAGTACAACGCGTTCTCCCAGAGTTCTTGTGATTGCCCGGCTTATTTCTGAAACCGCTGCCATGACAGCTAGAGCAACGACTCTGCAAGACGAAGAAGGAAATTCAGAGAAACAGACAGGAAAAGAAGGAAGGCAGACCGGACTCCCACCTCTTGCGACCTCTGCCGTGACAGGAGGTGCAACGCCTATTCCTGGTGTGACCGTGACCGTGACAGAAAGTGCAACGCTTCTGCAAAATGAGACGAGGATTTGAGTTCAACAGAAAAAAAAATAAACATAAGGAGCAACATTTACACACTCGACCATGCATTTGTCTTTTTCCAGCATAAATGCTTCTTTAAGTGGAACATGTCACACATTCTTCCTTTAAGTTACAGTATGAGATCAGAAGGACACATTGAGGGTGTAGCAAGGGTTTAGCTTCTACTTCCTGTTAGAAGGGAGATGATCTACTAAAGATAAATAATCATATAAAAAGGGGAACTGACTGTAAGCAAAGATTTAACTGTTGCATCTTTTACATTATGAAAACAATCTCCAAATTTTCTGAGGAAGAATTTTGTTCCCTAAACCCGCCTTCGCAGTTTTCAAGAAGATTCAAACATTCAAAGTTCTTCTTTTCAGGAATGTGTTCAAAGGAAAGAACAGAATCTACGCACACGTTGTGAGTGCTGCCATGCAAGCCCAACATTATAGGTTATTTTGTTCGCCTTCATTTTGCACATTTATGTGATTGAGAGTCAGAAAAATACATTGTTTAAATGCTGTCAGCTCTTTGAGTGTCACTTCCCCGATGAACTACCTCCATTTTACGCCCTTTTATGGGCATTGGAGGGGCGTTTCCCTGCTTCTCTGACAACAATGCAGCAGCCAGTATGTCCTCCTTCTAACTTTAGATTCTGCTCCTGAATGCTCTGGATTTGTTTGGACCAGAGAAGGTAGACGGTTTTAAGGCGACCCCCCCCCACACATGGCCGTTTTGGACGCCCCTCAGTTTGCCAGATGTGAATCACAACATGGTGAAAATAAAGCAGCATGCAGCCTTAAAGTGATAATAACCTGAACAGCAAAAAAAGGTTTCAGTCAAAAACAAGCCTTTAAAATGTCGATGTTATAAACGTTGTCTAAAGCACGATTAAGACACTTTAGGTGCTTTGTATGTGCACGTCTGAAATGAGTCTGTGATGTGAAAGGAACTGAATAATTAACTTCATCAACATCTCACCTGGCCTTTACCGAAGCAGCTACCACAGCGAGTCCTTCCACAGCCGTGACACTTGTGACACACCTGAGACACACAGACATCAGTGAACACATAAACACATAAAAGGGGACGACAGTATCTGTTGAAGAAAACGTTTTACCTTGATGACGGACGAGTGCGGCACGCGGAGCTGCTCCACCCTGTCAGTGAATCTCTCAGGTAACACTACAGGAATGTCCCAGGGTGCAGGACTCACCCCGTACTGGGGACCGTCCACCGGCTGTCCTGTGAGAACAAGAACTACAATAACCACCTTGTAGTCTCAGAAAAACTTGTCAATTTGCAGTTTTTTCTCTCTCAGAGTTTTCCACAGAATGACAGCGTGACTGTGGCTACATTTTTAAAATCAAAATATTTGATTGAATACATTTCTCAAACAGATCTGATTCCTCTTCTTGACCTGTAATTCTGTCATCACCTGTTTCCATTGCAGCATTAAAGTCCTGTCATGCATGAAAAGAGAAGCTGTGAGCAGTGATTTACCATTGTAGTGCTCAAACTGCCAGGAGCTGGTCCTCGTCTCGGTGTAGGTCTCCAGTCGATACTGCAGAAAGAAGAAAAACAACGTGTTGAAGGTTAATCAAGTATCTTAGCCCTCAAACTAGGAATCCTCAAAGTGGATGTTTTTCTTTGTCGATGTTGGTTCAACAAAAGAAAGAGAACAGGTGAATGGATCTATGTTTTTGTCACAGACTGTCTCGTACCCTGTACACGGTGACGGGTTTGAGCTCCTTGAAGGTGAGGTTTCTGGCAGGTTTCGCGCTGTACTTCCATTTTGATTCCACATACTTGAGCAAGGCCTCTCTGGCCACATCCTCTGACACTATAGGGACCCTAGAGGAGGAAAAACACAAACACACACACTCAGTATAAAACTCCTTTTAGTGTTGTGGGACTCAAAAACAGTCTTGGTCTGGAGACCACTTTTTGAAGGTCCTCATCTCGTCTCAGAATCGAAAGCATTTTGACCCGGTCTTGTCTCGGTCTGAGACTGGGCAGACTCTGGATTTTAAATCAAGATTACCACTGATCGGCTATTTGTCCTCGCCATTACTGTGATTAGAAGGAAAACACCTCTTTCTAAAAGAACAAATCACTTCAATTCATTCATAATTAGATTTTTCTCCCGGTTACGGTCTAAGAGAGTGACACACCCTCTGCACACAAGATGAGGATTTTTTTTTAAATATATTTATGGTGCATGTCTTGTCCTGCCTTCGTCTTGGTCTTGACTCGGTCTCGGAGCACTCTGGTCTCGGGTATGTCTTGGTCTCGGTCACTACCTCCTATTATTTCATCTGATCTTTTTCTGTGGCTTCAAGAAGAAACCAAAGTGTCCAGAGACATTTTCCGTGATTATCAAGTTTAAAATCATCAGATTAGTCTGTTAAAGATAAAGTACTGATGTGAGTGTTACCTGACATTGGGCACAGACGTGTTCCTGTCCAGTTCAGGCGTGGGGTTATACGCAGGTGGAGGAGGATACAACGGGTTATCATTCTCTGCTCATACACAGAAACACAGAAAAACAGGAGATGAAGTTTGGGGGTAAATCATTTAAGATGTTCAGAACAAGACACGAGGGGGAAGGAGAGTCTCACCTCCTCCTTTGTGGCCCTGGTATCCATGTACATCGTCCAACCAGCCAGGTGGGGGCGCTGACGGTCCCTCCTCTGGTATGGTAGGATCACATGAACCTGGAGGGATGGCGTTAAGAGGAGGATGTTACTTCATCCCATTGAAATCAAAAACACTGTTGAAAAGTGAAGCCAGTGCAGAAGTGCAATAAACTGCAGTTCCTCAAGTGTCCACTTGAAGCCTGCTGAAAAATCTAAGGATTCTCTATCAGCTCTCATTAAAATGCCCAGAAATAAATGTGTTTACAGCCTGGTCCAAACACTCAATTAGTAACAATAACTCATTAATAACTCAACACACTGTAAGGGTGTTCAATGTTTTTATAACTCATCTGTTTTAATTACATCAATCCGGAGAGTTATTCCGACATTTACATATTTTGGGGTGTGGCTGATTTGAGTGACAGGCAGGCGTGTTGTAGCTGTTTGCAAGGAAGCTTTAGCCTCGCCTGAACTCCAGCTGTTTGTATTTTTTTTAGATTGATTAAAAGTTGGACTGATTGGTTAGTGCGCGCGTCCCATGTATTGAGACTCTCGTCTCGAGCGGTAGGCCCGGGTTCGCTTCCACCCGTGGCCTCTTCCCGCATCTCATTCCCCGCTCTCTCTCTGGTTTCTGACTCTATCCACTGTCCTCTCTCTCTCTCTGGTTTCAGACTCTATCCACTGTCCTCTCTCTCCCTGGTTTCTGACTCTATCCACTGTCCTCTCTCTCTCTGGTTTCAGACTCTATCCACTGTCCTCTCTCTCCCTGGTTTCTGACTCTATCCACTGTCCTCTCTCTCTCTCTCTGGTTTCTGACTCTATCCACTGTCCTCTCTCTCTCTGGTTTCTGACTCTATCCACTGTCCTCTCTCTCTCTGGTTTCAGACTCTATCCACTGTCCTCTCTCTCTCTCTGGTTTCAGACTCTATCCACTGTCCTCTCTCTCTCTGGTTTCAGACTCTATCCACTGTCCTCTCTCTCTCTGGTTTCAGACTCTATCCACTGTCCTCTCTCTCTCTGGTTTCAGACTGTATCCACTGTCCTCTCTCTCTCTCTGGTTTCAGACTCTATCCACTGTCCTCTCTCTCTCTGGTTTCTGACTCTATCCACTGTCCTCTCTCTCTCTGGTTTCTGACTCTATCCACTGTCCTCTCTCTCTCTGGTTTCAGACTCTATCCACTGTCCTCTCTCTCTCTCTGGTTTCAGACTCTATCCACTGTCCTCTCTCTCTCCTGGTTTCTGACTCTATCCACTGTCCTCTCTCTCTCTGGTTTCTGACTCTATCCACTGTCCTCTCTCTCTCTGGTTTCAGACTCTATCCACTGTCCTCTCTCTCTCTGGTTTCAGACTCTATCCACTGTCCTCTCTCTCTCTGGTTTCTGACTCTATCCACTGTCCTCTCTCTCTCTGGTTTCAGACTCTATCCACTGTCCTCTCTCTCTCTGGTTTCTGACTCTATCCACTGTCCTCTCTCTCTGGTTTCTGACTCTATCCACTGTCCTCTCTCTCTCTCTGGTTTCAGACTCTATCCACTGTCCTCTCTCTCTGGTTTCAGACTCTATCCACTGTCCTCTCTCTCTCTCTGGTTTCAGACTCTATCCACTGTCCTCTCTCTCTCTCTGGTTTCAGACTCTATCCACTGTCCTCTCTCTCTCTGGTTTCAGACTCTATCCACTGTCCTCTCTCTCTCTCTCTGGTTTCTCTCTGGTTTCAGACTCTATCCACTGTCCTCTCTCTCTCTCTGGTTTCAGACTCTATCCACTGTCCTCTCTCTCTCTCTGGTTTCAGACTCTATCCACTGTCCTCTCTCTCTCTGGTTTCTGACTCTATCCACTGTCCTCTCTCTCTCTGGTTTCAGACTCTATCCACTGTCCTCTCTCTCTCTCTGGTTTCAGACTCTATCCACTGTCCTCTCTCTCTCTCTGGTTTCTCTCTGGTTTCAGACTCTATCCACTGTCCTCTCTCTCTCTGGTTTCTGACTCTATCCACTGTCCTCTCTCTCTCTCTGGTTTCAGACTCTATCCACTGTCCTCTCTCTCTCTGGTTTCTGACTCTATCCACTGTCCTCTCTCTCTCTGGTTTCTGACTCTATCCACTGTCCTCTCTCTCTCTCTGGTTTCTCTCTGGTTTCAGACTCTATCCACTGTCCTCTCTCTCTCTGGTTTCTGACTCTATCCACTGTCCTCTCTCTCTCTCTGGTTTCTCTCTGGTTTCAGACTCTATCCACTGTCCTCTCTCTCTCTGGTTTCAGACTCTATCCACTGTCCTCTCTCTCTCTGGTTTCAGACTCTATCCACTGTCCTCTCTCTCTCTCTGGTTTCTGACTCTATCCACTGTCCTCTCTCTCTCTCTGGTTTCAGACTCTATCCACTGTCCTCTCTCTCTCTGGTTTCAGACTCTATCCACTGTCCTCTATCTCTCTGGTTTCAGACTCTATCCACTGTCCTCTCTCTCTCTGGTTTCAGACTCTATCCACTGTCCTCTCTCTCTGGTTTCAGACTCTATCCACTGTCCTCTCTCTCTCTGGTTTCTGACTCTATCCACTGTCCTCTCTCTCTCTGGTTTCAGACTCTATCCACTGTCCTCTCTCTCTCTGGTTTCAGACTCTATCCACTGTCCTCTCTCTCTCTGGTTTCAGACTCTATCCACTGTCCTCTCTCTGCATTAAAGGCACGAAAAGCCCAAAAATAAATCTAAAAAAAAAAAAAAAAAGTTGGGATTGATAAACATTTCCAATATGGCGACCGCCATCACTGGGCTTCTTCAGACACCAACGGGTGACATCACTAAGCTTACGTCCATGTTTTATGCAGTCGATGCTATAGACATGAGATGCAAGAGCGGAGCTGGAGTGAAGAGCAGATTAATATCCAGAAATCTCATTCTGAAGTTGAATTCATTTCCTAACTTTCGTCAGTCAATCACTTTGGATGCACTAAACGTGTAAAGAGCTCATACAGCGTCTCTGCAGCATGCTGAGGATGGTCGGGACAGTGTGTGTGTGTGTGTGTGTGTGTGTGTGTGTGTGTGTGTGTGTGTGTGTGTGTGTGTGTGTGTGTGTGTGTGTGTGTGTGTGTGTGTGTGTGTGTGTGTGTGTGTGTGTGTGTGTGTGTGTGTGTGTGTGTGTCAGTGCTGCAGGAAGGGAGGATGCACTCTTTAGAGGAGCCTGTCAGGAAACTGGTTTCAGCCTGATGTAACAGACGAGGCTTCAGACGCCACAGCTCGCACAAACACCGCTAAAAACATGCTCAGTATCACTTTCACACTCATTACTCCATTTTTCATACGTAAGCATTCAATTATGTTTTCAAGTCTGTTCCAACCTCATATTTCAACAAACTCACAGCCCATGAAGACCCCTCCCACTGTCCATATAGACAAGGACAAAGTGCAATAACCACACCATTCACAGCCACATCCTGTATGTGCACATCTGTGTTTCTTTAGGCCTTCTGCCCAGATTAATTCACTCCACTTCTGTAAATGGATCAGGCCTCTAAAGGCTTAACGGGGGAGGAGATCTCTCAGGTAGGGACTTGTCTTCTCTTTATATCAAATAACTGCTGTCACGACGGCTGACTCGGGACTTATTTTGCCCCCCTCTCCAGTCTAGTATACCAACATAAGGCCTGCGCAATCCTCCATTAATCCAACACATAGCTTCAGACTTTGCCTCTTTGTTTAGTCGCATCACAAACTACAGCCACCTGTTCCACATTCCTCCAACAGCTTGGATTTAAGTTTAGTTCTCCCTCATTGGTCCAGAACATGTGACAGTCTGTGTTGAACCCAGTAGAAGCTCTGAGAGGCGTTTCCATGGTTTCCCTGTAAACTACATTAATTTTCGGCTTATCTGCATTCTGACAGTAGAGACCCCACCCCTCCTTTTGTCTGTAAGACAACTGCAATAACTACATAATGCTATTCAAATACTTCCCCACCCACACACTGTGTATAAATAGATCATCCACTCAGAGGTTAAGGCCCACACTGACAGGATAATCAACCTAATACACGGGTATTAATGTTTGTTTTCTGTGTGTTGTTTGTTTATTTTGGTTTATAAGTTTAAAGAACACTTTTTCTTTCTGACAGGTTTATGTGCTGAACTGGTTCTGTACCAGGTTGGACGATCTGTCAGAGACTAAAAAGAGTTAAATGTTTCTTTCAGACATGATGGGATCAAAGCTCCGCTGTGCTCTGACATCCATTTTATCAAACAGCTCATTCTGTTTATTGTTGATATTTAATGTTGTACCTGTACATAAGAGAGCACAGTTCACCCAAGTTAAATTCCTTGTGTGTGTGAGCACACCTGCCCAATAAATCTGATTCTGATTCTCTAAAAATCCCGTTTATTTTCTCCATAGTGGTTTTGAGTATCAGCCATGATGTCATAACCATCACAGGGAGTCTGACCACGAGCTACCCGAGTGTGAAACGATGGTTAATGCTCCTCCTCCTCCTCCTCCTCCTCCGCAGCAGCAGATACACAAGGATTTTATTTTAGCCGAATGCCGGAGAACGACGCATCAATTTACCACAGAGCGGATCGAGCGGGACAGGAAGTCAGACACCTAAACAACGATAAAACATCCGGTTTATTTTCAGAATAAAACACTAAGTTTTGACGGTTCAGATCTTTGTCCTTATGTGTGTTTGTTGATGTGTTTAGAAGGTTTTATAGCACATATATATCTGGTATTATTCTCTGAAAACACAGCCTGCGGGTGTTGACCATAGACTGTAAATATTAACGGATGAAGCATGAGTGACCTCCCCCGTTGGTTACGACAGCGGGCTCCTGAGGCTCATGGGCAGCAGCGGCCATGCTGGAAGTCTAAGCCCGACTACGGACCACACGTATCGTTCATAAAATGTAAAAAACATTCACCCCCCGTACAGAGTGTGCCCATGAGGACGATTACTAAATCACACCTATTTGCTTTTTTGAACCAGGCTGTAAACATGTTCATCTCTGTTGTTTTGAATGGGTGTGTATGTGACTTCCTGTGCTCCTGCAGCCAGCCTCTAGTGGACACTTGAGGAACTGCAAGATTTTGCACTTCAGCATCAGCAGCTTCATTTTCGAGCTCTGCAGGAAGAGCCAAACAGAGCTCAAATTTAAAAGCTTAAAAGACAGAAAACTTTCAAAGAGTTTTCAGTATAAGCTGACTGACTGATGCAACTTTTCACCGTGAAGACCAACAGGAGTGCCACACTGTTTTGGGGGTTTATCGTGAGTTACTAAAATATCAAACTGATGTCACGCTTTGACCTCTCTAACTGCAGCTTGGCAGCAACATGAGCAGCTCCACATACCACAGAATCGAATGCTTTTACACAACAATGTAATATCACATAACGACACACAATAGCACCTTGACCGGGACGCTTCTGAGGCACCGAGTGCGTCATGGTTTAACCGAAACAAACACTTTCACCCCAACAACAGCGGCTCCCCTGGGAGGTTTTCATTCGTCATTTTAGCTTTTTTATGCCAGGCGGATAAAAATACAACAGAGTCAAGAGTGTTTGTACCACGCTGTACACAATAACTCCGGCTGAGGGCTAAAAATAACAGCGAGAAGGTGTTTCCCTGAAGAGATCTGCGTCGAGATGGACCGAGTGTGAGAACCGCCGGGTGGAGGGAGGGAGGGAGGGAGAGGCTCATTAAGATAGGGGAAAATAAAAAGAGAGAGAGAGAGAGGGGAGGGGGAGTTATAAAAAAAAAAGAGAACAAAGCCGGCCTGATTACTGACGACTTTCACTGGACAATGCGTTTGGAAAACACTCCTGCAGCACTCCTCCACTTCTTCTGTTTCTCCTTCTCAAGTTCACTGAGGGCCGACTTTAAACACAAGACACGAGAATAACCTGTGAAACCGACAGAGAACTTCAGCTGCAACTATCACTCTTTTAACATGTTCATTATTCACCACCCAATATTTCAAACCGATTCAGAGTTCATAGTTTTGTCAGTACATTTCCATGACTTCAGAGCAAATTTTCCTGACCATACAGTCTCTCAAACGTTGGAAAATAAGTATAAAAATGAAGGTCAAATTTGACTTCAGTGTTTGACATTAAAGAGAAGCTGGGTGTCACATCAGCTCTCTCTGTCGCTCTGCTTCACTAACACAAACACCTCGTCCTCCCGCTCTCAGCCTGGCAGCACACACACAAACTTCCTCTCTCTCTGCTTCTTTTCTGACCCTCAGATTAGACGCACAGTCAGGCCGAGGTGACAAAACGATAATAACGATAATCATCAGGACGTCAAACGTTTGATAGATTTAAACCTTTAACTACAACCAGAAGACGTGAGAGGTTTAAACGGGCGACACCACAAACCTTTTCCACCACTTAACACGAGATCACCCGTTAGAAAGAAATGACCAAAACGTCCTGAAGGAGCGTTCTTGGACCCTCAGCAAACACGGCGCCAGTAAGTGTTTGCTGAGGGTCCACATACTCTGTGTTAGGGCTGTGCTAAAAAAATCCATGTTTCAATATATGGTCATGTGCTCCTTACAAATACAAGTCGATGCAGATGTTACAGAATGGATACGGCTGCAAATCTGTGATGACGGTTTTTAAAGACAATAGAGCGATGGTGCAGCTCACAATAACACCTTAGTCATAGCTCTGGGATTAAAATATTTTAATGTACTTCTAGGATCTCTGAGGAGCGGAATTAAAGTGTTTTAAGTTGTAGGATCTTAAATATTCCTTTGTTGTTTTCCTCAACAATAAAGATCAGCTGTTGTAGTGAGCTCTGTGAGGACATGGTCATTAACTTGAATCATTTTATATCGCCATATGTATCGCATCGTGGGGTTGTGGGAAATACCCAGTACCTACTCTGTGCGCACCGCAGTCCATCAGTGTTTTGCTCCTTCGGACGGCGCCCCCCCCCCGGGATCCCGTTTGTGGAACGTGAGCGAAGTGGAGCGCAGCCACGATCACGATAAGTATGTGGACATTGCCGGTTGTTTTGAAAAGCCAAAATCTTTCTTGAAAAATTTAAACTCAATTAATTGTCCAGCCAAAAATTAAGATTATTTTTTTTATTCTGAGGTTAAAGAATTTCTGACTTTTTTTTTTTTTTTCAGATTTAGGATTCTGACTTTTTTTTTTTTTAGTGTCCCTAATCATCTTCCGTAGAATATACTCCATAATAAAACCATAGTGCAACTTACATTAACATTTAATGATGCAGGCAACCTCCTCAATAAAGTCATAAAGTCTTATCTGCAGAGCACTGAACTTAGCACAGACTTTAAGAGACACCACAAATAATGGAATCTTTGGTAACATGAGACCCTGAATGCAACAGCGTGCAAAGTGATGAAGCAGTGTTAACAAGTAAATAACGCGCGTCTGAAAGCGTCTTTGAACGCATCACACTACTTTAAAACTTCTGAACCTGAACGAATCAATTTGTTTCTAAAGTTCACATCAAGTAAAGAAACGTAAAGCAGAACAGACGAGCCCCTGCCTGAGTCCCTCCGGACAGCACGGAGGGTGTAATGTTCCTGAAGGAGAGCAACAACATCTCCAACATGAAGACAGAAAAACAAACTTAACTCGAGATCAAAGTTTGTTTTCTTTAGTTATAAAAACAAAAAGCTTATTTCTCACCAAGAAAGTCTGGTCTCTCGTCCATTTCTCTGCAGCTTTCAGGAGTTTGACGTGACTGAAGTCTTTGAGTGTAAAGGTGTTACAACTCAAACGGGCACGGCACGAATCGAGTGAAACTTCCGGTTGGGATTTCCGCAATAAAAGCAAAACTCTAAACGCTAGTTCTGAACCACTAGTTCTTATAAACGTTTTTGTGTGCTCCTTTAAGAAATAAAATAAAAATAAAAACACAGACTAAAAACCTGCCAGGTGATTGTTTAAAATGATTTATGTTTTCTCTCAGATCTGTTTTCCTTCCTTCACTGTGCAGTTTAGTTTTAGTTTAGTTTATTTGCACATTTTTTGAAGGAAGAATCAAACAGAAAAAATAAAAAATAAATAAAACAAATGTGCAGGTGAGGTAGAAACCCATGAGGGCTTATCTCAAAACCTCACCTTAAGAGATTAAACAAAGTTAAAATAAAATACAGTAAAAAATAACAAAGTAAGAATATTTACTATCGCAAATACAATTTACCCGATTGAAAATTACACACAAACATTGAAAACATAAAAATAGAGCAAAGCAGGACATACAATATGTAGACAATATAACAAAATCAGGACAATTCACTATTTACTACAAATCTTTCTGACATCAACACATTTCTGAGTCTCAATTTGTATCTAGAAAAAGACAAAAAATCATCAAGTAAATAAATATGTGTGTTCCATAATTTGACTCCACGGTATCTTATTGAGTCCTCGAGATGTACAACACACTGGTAGGTAGAGGTTATTGGTTTGTCTAGTTGAGTAATAGTTTACTTGAGAATTAAAAATGAAAAATGCTTTAAAGCTTTCTGGCAAGTTTGCACTCATGTATTTAACTTTAAAAATAAAACTACTTATTTGAAGAGTATTGATATCAAAGATTGTCAATATGTTACACTTCAGAAAAAGAGGGGAGGTTACATCACAGGACTTGGAAAAAGTTGCCATTCTGACAAAACGTTTCTGGAGTAATAGAATTTTATGAAGATATGTTTGGAAAGTGCTGGCCCATACAATATTGCAATAAGTAAGATACGGATATATTAGGCTGTAATATAATATTGAAATACAAGAAGAGTGTAAAAAAACACACATTTTTCTAATAATCCCTAGAGATTTTCTAACCTTACTACAGACAGAGATAATGTGATCTTTCCATTTAAGTTTCTCATCAATTAAGATCCCTAAAAATCTTGTTGATGTTACTTTAGTCATTTCTTCATCATTTATATACAATTTCACCATTTCAGAGTTATATTTCATTTTTCCAGCAAATATCATGAAGTTAGATTTTTTCACATTTAATGCCAACTTATTTGTTTTAAACCATTTTGAATATGCAAGAAGGCCATCATTTACTTCATTCATGAGTTCTGACAAGTTTTTATTGGAGACAAGTAAATTAGTATCATCTGCAAATAATAATGGGCATATTGTGTTTGATACTGTTGCAAGATCGTTAATGTATATGAGAAACAGTAACGGTCCTAAAATGGACCCTTGTGGGACCCCACACTGCATCATAGTTCTCTCAGACTCTACACCATTTATGTTGACTTACTGCTGTCTGTTATATACATAATTACTGAGCCACTTCAGGACATTTCCATTAAATCCATATCTATATAGTTTAGCTAGTAAAATTTCATGATTTACAGCATCGAATGCTTTAGAGAGATCCAGAAAAATACCACATGAAAACTCTCTTTTCTAATGCAGAATAAATCTTGTCCACTAGTTGTAAGAGGGCCATATAGGCAGAGTGTTTTTTCTGAATCCATACTGGTGTTCATACAGTATACAATGCATGTTCAAATGTTTGAGGATGCGTTTATATACTATTTTTTTTTAAGATTTTGGAAAAACATGGAAGAACTGAGATGGGACGGTAGTTTGTAAAATGTCCTGGATCACCCGATTTAAAAAGTGGAATAACCTTTGCCAGTTTAAGATCAGAAGGAACAGTACCAGTTTCCATGGACATCGTAAAAACATGCAAGCATTCAATATTGATCTTTTTACCTCTTTAACAAGGGTTGCACTAATGCCGTCATGACCCGGGGCAGATTGTTTTAGCTCTATAATAATGTCATTTATCTCATTACAGTTAAGAGGTTCAAACGAGCAGAATGATGGAAAGCTACCTCTGATATAATCGGTTGGACTTTCATTTGTGTTGCCAAACTGCTTAGAGATGGAAGTTCTCACATTCACAAAAAACTCATTGAATTTGCAAGCAACATCGAAACGACTTGTGATGGATGTTCTCCCATCGGAAAAACTAAGCGGAAAAATTGTTGATGGTTTTTTCTTTTGGAGTAGCTGATTTATAATTTTCCATGTAGCTTTGATGTTCCAGAATTCTTGAACTGCTGACTGAAAAAGCTTTTTTTGGCTACTCTGAGAAGATGATTATATTTATTCTTATACAATTTATAATTTGCTTGATTTAGGGGTGTAGGACATAAAATATATCGTTTATAGAGTTTTGTTTTGATTTTTGATGATTTTTTCAAGCCTGCAGTAAACCAAGCATTATAATTATTATCTTTATCCAACCTTTTCGAGCAAGTTACTCAAGGAAAACTTTTATAGAATACTGAATTAAATGAGTTCATGAATATATTGTAAGCCAAATTAGCATCACTCTCCTTAAAAACATTTTCAAAAGATACCTTTTCCAACATATATTGAAATTTGCGTATGTTACTCGCATTGAATTTCCTATAAGTTCCTGTGACAACTTCATTTTTGGTCTTAGCTCCATCCATCATTGTAAGTTGGAAGACTGGAAAATGATCTGAAATATCTGAATATAATATTCCTGGAACTGACATATTCTGCATAGAATTTGTCAGTATATTATCAATCAAAGTTGCCGTTTTATTTGCATATAAATTATTCAGGAAATCTTCAGTCAGTGAGTTTCCCCCTTAAAAAGGTTGATATTAAAGTCCCCAAGGATGTAGCAGGTTTTCCCCTCCTTGTTTATTAGTTCCAGAGTAGTATTCAAGCTATCATTAAAACTATTTATGTCTGTGTCTGGTGGTCTGTAAATACAGCCTACAATCATATTTTTCCCAGAATCGTAACAGGAGATTTCAATAAACACTGATTCTGTATCAATTTGATCAGATTTGAGGGAAAGATCAGATCTATTCTTAAAACTGTGTTTTTTATGGACATAAACTGAAACACCACCTCCGATTTTATGTTCCCTAACAAAATGAATAGAGTTATACATCGACAGTTCATATAAATTCTTAGTTTCTTCAGTAAGCCACGTTTCTGTTAAAGCAACTACTGAAAAGTCATGTTCTAAGAGTGATAGATAATGCAAAAGCTGGTCATAGTTTTTTGGAAGGCTGCGGGTATTGAAATGCAATAGTGAAAAAATATTTGATTTTGTGGAAAGTGACTTGATATAGGCATTAAACTGGCTTTCTCTATAGTAGTGACAAGGGCCTGGATTAGAGTTTGTTGAGAAGAAATTAATATCAGGATCAAAATTTGAATCATTTCATGATTTAATTCAAATGGGTTAAACAGCATATTGTCTGTGTCTAAGTGTTTTGAGTCATGACTGTCCGTCAGGTAGGAGGCAAATTCATCATCATCAAGTATAGAGAAAGGAAATAGACTTACACATTCTTTACAAATCCAAGATGCCCATATGCCAGATGGCTTGTTAGATACTGGTGTAAACCTAATATGAGACCCATTTTTACATAGTGTGCAGAAGATGCTCAGAATCATACTTTTTTGACACTGCGAACACTGATCTTGTTTAGTCATATTATGAAAGGAGTAAACATTGTACAGCAACATGGATTCCTTATGTCATTACCTCGTTTCTTCTTGGCTTATGTGAAGGTGGATGCACGATGAGCTTGTCATATTGTAGGTAAGCTATATCACCTCTCTCTCGTGCAGCTTTCTCTCTGCTTCTGCCGAACTGTTTCAGAGAAGTCCTCATTTATATAGACGTTCGACCCCTTCAGGGTTTTTGCTTTAGCCAGAATGGACAGTTTGTCCTTATGCCTTAGAAGCTTCACTGTAATTGGACGGGGTTTGTTGCCCATTGGAGCAGGTTTACCTGAACGATGAGCACGTTCAATTTCAATCTGACGGTGATCTAATTTCATCTTCTCTGAAAGAAGGCTCATAATTTTTTCTTCTGTCTCCATCCATTTTTCATTTAGACAGTGACGTCACCCGTCTGTTCCTGCAGGGGGCGCTGGAGTCCCATCGATGTCCCCCGTCTGTTCCTGCAGGGGGCGCTGGAGTCCCATCGATGGTGTCCCCCGTCTGTTCCTGCAGGGGGCGCTGGAGTCCCATCGATTGTGTCCCCCGTCTGTTCCTGCAGGGGGCGCTGGAGTCCCATCGATGTGTCCCCCATCTGTTCCTGCAGGGGGCGCTGGAGTCCCATCGATGGCGGTCTCCATGCTGGAAATGCTGTCTCAGTCTAACTTTCAGTCAACCTAACGACAGGCTGAGAGCTGGAGCTGAGGCGGGTTTTAAACCTCCTGACAAACCGTTACACCGCGCCCACCTGTCAATCAGGTCAGCTACACGCCTTATTGTGAATAACTCTTATCCTTCATCAAATCAAAACTGATGAGTCATCAAAACATTCACCCCCCGTACAGTGTGTGTCCATCAGACATGAGCTAATCACACCTGTTTGGTTTTTTGAACCAGGCTGTAAACATGTTCATCTCTGCTGTAAAAACAGGCTTTTTAGAATGGGTGTGTATGTGACTTCCTGTGCTTCTGCAGCCAGCCTCTAGTGGACACTAGAACTGCAGGATTTTTACACTTCATTCTTCAGCACTGGAGGTTGCTGCTTGTTGAAGACCCATATTTTTTTTATCCTCTATACTTTTATTTTGAAAGCGCACTCTTTTAACTTCCTGTCCAGTCTTGTCGGTTTAGGTCTCTGTTGATGCAGCTGCTGGCCGCGCCCACCATGTTTACGTTCATACAGATTTACAATCACTGAGTGACTCATATTCCTCAGAAAGAAATATGTGCAACAGTATCGCTGATAGAAGCTGCTCTTTCCCCCCCGCGGATTGGAAACCTTCAAAATAAATCTGATCCTGTTGCATCTTTAAAACATTTACAATCTACTAATG